AAAAAAAAAAAAAAAAAAAAAAAAATCAATCAGAACAACTAGAGACTAATACCAGTCTTGGGGTCCATCGCCAATCTAGTCCTTCAGGAGGAATGAAAACGAAGTATCATCTCAATTTAGTTCTCTTCATTTTCTGGGTAACCTTTGAGGGCAATAATTCTGCCTCCCTTCAATTCCTAGAAAAAAAAAATCTAAATAAATTAGTATTCAACATCCAACATACAAAAGAAATATAATTACACTAGATGTAAAGTCATTTGTGCACATACCTTTGTGCAATAGACTATACCTTCTCCAGGCTTGGGATGAAAGCGTGCCACATTGGTCACCGCTGTATGACTACTGATGCTTCTTATAAGCTTCATATCTGAAATCCTGTAAATCTGAGCTTGGAAGCATGCACCATCATGTTAGATAATGAAAATGCCTTTATTTCGAGGATTTTATAGAGATATGTATTCATTCTCCTATTTTATGTCTCAATTCAAGCATTTAAATGAAAATGGAACCATAAACAAGCCGACTCTGCTGGAAAACCCAACTTGGATTACTATTCAAGTTCTACTTATAGCTTATGCTAATATGCAATTGATTTTAGGAATCCAATTTTGATCAAATTGGTTGAACTAGTACGTAATTAAGGATAGGATATGGATAGAATCAATATAATCCTATGAGCTAGCAGCGAAGCATGATTTGACTTAATTATATCTCACACAATCTACGAGAACTTGTTACTATGTAAGGACAGTTAAGAGTTTGCCAAATAACTGGTAAGTGTGACCTTGTCTCTATTCGAAAGGGTTTGCATGGTAGCTTTAGCAATTGGCAATGTTATAGGGGATACTCTACGCACGATGTGTGGTTATTGAAAGGTTGTTAATTAATCTTCAATAGTGAATTTGTCTTAGATTGACAAATATCTAATTCAGAGCCTATGATTATGAGTTGGTACACGACAAAGTCGTGTTCTAATGTGCCCTTCGAGATATTATGTGGAGATGGTTAGGAAATCTCCAACTATCCTTTAATCATGAACTTGTAGTGGTTTACAGACACAAAAATCGCTTCCTCCATAATGATAATAGTATTATGGAGCCTATTAATATTAAGAAGTCACCAACTAATTCCTGATAATGAATCTCTCTAGGTTGATAGTGTCCATTATATATGATCGAACTTTTCATAACACGAAGTCATCCATCTACACAATAGCAAAATTGTTTGTCCACTCCTAGTTCCCAACTTGATTCTGAGAAAGTAAGACTGCTGACTTGAAGGCTTTTATCCTCCCTTTTATCTCAATGTTAGAAAATGTCCAAACATTTCGCTTCGGTCTCCATCATGAAATTGTGGGTGGCTCCAGTGATAGTATTCTTGGTCTATTTGTGGTTAATCTAGGCCTCGACATACATAAGACTTCATTCCACTGACTCTTCCATCTCTCCCACTTTCTTTTGGAGAGAAGATAAATATTTTAGAGTTCCCTTGCGGGAGTTTCCCATGCTTTCAACTAGCAATGTTTCAACTTTTGTTATCTCATATTCAGCATTTGAATTCGTTCGAAATTTGGTTTGGAATGTTTGGAGGGTCACCCTTTGTGGGCATTCAGATTCTTAATGGACCCGTTTACATATGAAGCAGGATGAAGACCCCTGACTGTAATTGTTCTAGTTGGTAGTCTCCACCATAGATTTCTACCTCTCTATGGGAAGATTCATATGCCCTCCCTCCAATTTCAAATCTGTCACATGAGTTAGATAGGTAATTTTTATTACTGGGGAACTTTAACTCCACTTGACATCTTCGAGATTGATTATTGTTAAGATCAAACAACCGTTGCATTGTCACATAGACCATAAAAAGGCCCTAACTTGTTCATATACTTTTGACTTTGTCCACATTTTCAGACCTTCAACGAAACAAAAAACCTTGTCTTGCTCAAACCTTATCGTTCTTCAACAGCTTAACTCAACTTTTTCTTTCGTTCTTGGTTACTTTATGCTTTATGGCTCATCTCACCGAGACTTGTGAAGAAGCTGAGTTCTTCGCTACTCACTTTCGTTCTTTCTTCATTTTGATTTTTGGTTTTAGTATACGATTTCATCGTTTGTTCTTCATGAAGTGATTGTTTTTTTAACAAACTAGCAACCCAACTTGAATATAGAGAATTAGGTTTTGAAACAATTTCAAGTTGGGTTACCAATCCAACCAACCTGAAACTTTAGGTTAGTCCAAAAAAAATCCTCAAACCACCCCAAGTTTGTTCCCTACAACTTTTATGACGAGGTTTGTCATTTAGCACAGATTTGAGATTATGGAAAAATGGGTGGATATAGAGAAGGTTTTGTGGAAATTTAGCGGTGATTCTCTTTAAAGACATCCACATCAGAAAGAAGTTGTTAGATTTGGTGAGAGAGGCTTGCTTGAGTGAAGACGTCCAAACTAAAAAGAAGTTATATTTGTGAGAGGTTTGCTTCGTGACTGAGCCAAGAGACAAGACGTTTGGTTTTTGAGGGTGTAAGAACAATTATTTTACAAGAAACGAAGTGGAAGAAGTATTGTTGGTCCTATATAGAAGCTTATATGGAAGTAGAAGTGTGGAGTGGGTGGCCCTGGTGTCTATGGGAGCTTCGGGGTTGTTCTTATGCTTTAAAATAGAACCTCTTCAAAGCCATTAAGGTAGCTAGATAGGTCAGTGGCCTTCCACTTTTCTAATTTGGGTTGGGTGGACTTCGATGGTTTATGCTCCTTCTATATTATGGTCCGGGGGCTTAGTTATACATCCTAGAGTAGGAGTGTATAGGGTTTGGGTATGCATAAGCCTTGTAGGGTTAGTACAGATGGTAAGCCATGACATTGACTAATATAAGAGTGAGCATACGAGCACATAGGTGCATAAGAGACAGTAAGGATTAAGAAGTTTGAGTTTAAATGGAGATATTGAATTTGGAATTCAGGACTACAAACTTTTCCATCCTTATCAATGGATAAGATTGCTTCTAGAGGGCTTAGGCAAGGGGGCTCTATCGCCTTCTTTATGTGTTGTGGATGTTTTGAACATGCTAGTGTTTCTTGAAGTGAAGGGGGGTGGTTGAGGGGTTTAAGGTGGGGCAAGAATTGGATCACCTTTATAAGTTAGATGAGTTACTACTCTCAAAACTTTCATCTAATACATATTTATTTGAAGCTATACTATTTAAATGGCAATTAATTACCTCCAATATAGTATATGGACAAGGCCACCCAATTCCTTTGAGAGAATAATGCCTTCTGCCGTACCCGACCACTATGTATTTTGAAGTTGGAGAGAACTGTAATCATTTCTTGCATTTATTATTCAATGAGAAAATCAATGTAAAAATTTATAAAGTTATATATTCAACAAACCTGAATTGCATTCACCGCATAACCAGCTTTGATCCCTTTTGTTTTAAGAACTCTACCAAAACTATTTATTGCACAAGCAAGCAAACAAACAAACAAACAATATCATAGTAAAAATATAAGACTCAGCGCTTAAAAAAAGTAAATGCCCCATCAATAGAATGTATAAATGTATTACCTGCAATCTGCTATAGAATACACCCTTATATCATATACGAGCGTACAAAGTGTAGAATCATCAAGCTGCTCGTAAAATAATTTGAAGATCTTCTCGTCGGCTTTCTGTCGATTAACAACACAAGCAACCAGGAATTTGCCGCATGGGGAGATGTCTGCACTCCTTTCACTACATATCAAAAGCCCACAGCACACTTTAATCTAAAATAACTCAATAAAAAGAAACACACATAAACGGTGTAAAAATACCAGTTCAGAACGACGTTCGGTATGCATAAACGTTCGTTTTCAAGCACATTGTAAGCTTTGGCATCATATTGCCAAATCTTCAGTCCCACAACACGGAGGCATTCCACCACAGTTTGTTCCTCCATAACCAAGCTCTCTCTTGCGGGTGGATTGAAGGTAATAAGAGGGTTCATCTCAATAGTTAATGGACAAAAATTAGCAACTTTTCGACGAATCCGGAATGTTGATGCAGCCTCAGCACTTTCATCCACAACGATTGAAAAATCTAAGAAACAAATGTAGGCTAATAACAAACCACCATTATATATTAGTGGTACTTGGTAACGAAATTCTTGTTGGCACCTGGTGCAGTAGATGTAGTGGTCAAAAGTATATCATTTGACCCTTCTGGATGATAAGATCTAAACGTAATTAGCACGCTACGTTTGAGGTTTTTACAATTATTCACCTGCATGCATATTTTTATATCAAGTTATATAATATACTAAAAAAATGACACTGCATTTTAAATTCAAATGATTTACCTCGGCAGTCAATATGTATGGCGCACCCAACGGGTGGAATTGGACTTTTTTAATTGTTCCAGATGCAATTAGTATAGCATGAGAATGATTATCCTGGTTATATCTCCAAATATGTAACTGCGATTATTGAACCACGATTAAACTAAAATTATTTAGATATATAAAACTAAAATTATGAATGTGTGAAGGTAAAAACTTCACCTCCTTATCTATTGTAAAAGCAAGAATTTCTTCTTCAGCATGTAAAGAGATGGATCTATCAATCAGTGTAGGTTCTACACAACGATAATTCATTAAATGATATTTATAGGAAAATACAAGCTATTAAAAAGTATGTACAGAAATAATTAGATGTTAAAGTTTGTTACAGAAGATGCAGTTATCTAACTTAAGTTCACAGTGCAGGGAAGTGTTGGCCGTTATCTTTTTTATTGAATTGAGATCCATTGTTTATAACTTCTCTAAAGTTGAAATAATAAAAAGAAAAAGTGAATACTAGTTGTGATATAATGGCATTCATGTCCCGCATTTTCAATAACAGCTACTTCACCCGTCATAAATATTAGGGCCAGATGAGTTGAAATTGATGCATTTTGATGCCACTGAAGCTGAGAAGTTATATCATGAAGAAGAAGAAGAAGAAAAAAAGGCAAAATGTCAATTTCGCACAAATGATGCTAGAAATAATGCTGAATAATTCTTGTTATTGCTTATTCAAGCCTTTAGTCCAGTTTGTTATGTTTGGGTCTAGAGTTTATGTTTTTTCTGTACTTAGAGGCTGTTTGAATGCCCAATAAATGAAGTCCTATTCCTTCCCAAAAGGGACAAACTTGAGGATAATAGCATCAAATGTTTTGGTTGTAGCACGGTTTTATAATCCTGACGAATAAACTTATTATTAGTAATCGTTCGAAATAAAATAGAAGCAATTAAAAAGTAAAGCTTACGGCCTGAACGAAATTCCAATTTGATTCATCAAATCTAATAATTGATCTCACTGGAAGCTGGCATGAAGTTATCCATTCGAATACTTTTGGATAATCTTCCAATATAGCACTGCAAGTATATTCAAAATAGAATCAATATATCGATCGACCAATCATAAACTATTTTGCAGTCAAGAAAATGTTACCTTCTGCAGTAACATAGATCACCACCCTGAAAAAATTCTATTATACCCTGTGGTATAGTAGTGGAATGAAAAATTGTAACAGTTGAGCAATGCTTCAATGTATATTCTTCCACACTAAAATATCCATCGTAATACATGGTTAGTATTAGAAAGTGCAGGTTATCATTATTTAAAGAGAAAAAATTATGGAACACAGCGTTGTGTAAAGTTACCAGGAATGAAGTCTACGTTGAGACTCGGTTATCATTTTTGTGTTTGTGGAAATTTCCCTACTCGCTAAGATTCCCACAATGTTCTTCATCTAAAAAGAAATGCAATTCAGTAAGGAAAAAACAAAATTAACTAATATTATCACAAGATTCCAGAAAATTAAGGAAACTACATCAGCCATAGTTTTGTGAAAATGCAATTCGTTTATAGCATTCAGAACCAACCTGTGAGGAAGAGGAGCGTCCTTTCTTTTATTCTTCTTTTAGGACAAACTGCTTCCTAGTTTCTGAAACGTTCATTAGGAGTAGCTTAGCATGAAAAAAGAACACAAATAAATCAGGGTCTGAATTATTATGGTAAAATAGTCCGTTAGGGCTAACAATCTCATCAAATTCATGAGTCTACTCGCTCTATTCTCATTCAATTCCTATGAAAGATTGCTTTTCCATTTAATTAACGAAATAAAACAAAAAAAAAGTCCTAAAATTCAGGGGCTCGAAGATAAAGAAAAATTTCCTCTGTTTCTTGAAATTAGTACGGTTAATCACATACTTGAGAGAAATTATCCGCAAGAAATCATAAGAATCAGATAGGGTAGGAGCAGTGAAGGTGAGTTTGGCGCATGAAAAGGCATCGGAAATGAGAATCATGAAGCAAAGATCATCGTCGACACAACTATCAGAATCAAATTGAAAAAAGAAGAAAAGAACGTGATAAGAAGGAACTGAGACCGAAAACGGATGGAAAAACAAATGATCAAAAGTCACAAGTTCGAGATTTTTAAAGCTATAGTAGAGAACCAAAGTGGCTGTCACATTAAAGTTCTTCGAACAGACAGAGGTGGCGAGTTCATATCTAAAGAGTTCAATCTGCTTTGTGAAGAAAAAAGCATCCAAAGGGAATTAACAGCTCCCTACACTCCAGAACAAAATGGAATCGCTGAACGAAAAAATCGAACTATTGTGGAGATGACAAGAAGTATGTTACAAGCAAGGAGACTTCCAAACCAATTTTGGGCAGAAGCTATAGCAACATCTGTTTATCTATTAAACATCTCACCAACAAAGACGGTTATGAATCGAACTCCTTATGAAGCATGGCATGGAAGGAAACCAATTGTAAGTCATTTACGAATCTTTGGTTGTGTTGCTTATGCTTTGAAACATCCTCAAATTCGTCAAAAGCTCTATGAAAAATCTGAAAAATGCATTTTCATTGGCTATTGTACTCAATCAAAGACATATAAATTATATTAGTTAGAAGGGATGTAATATTTAATGAAAACGTGAGTTGGGATCGAAGTAAAGAATAGGAGCAGCAAAAGATTACCGTTGAAGTTTCTTCAAATGAAGAGACAAGGGTCAACTCCAGTGCATCTCTTAGTGCCTCCACTGCAACACAAAATGTGTCAAATTCATCATCTTCAACATCACTAAATAGCGATTCTTCTCTTGAAGAACTTTCGGATGAGACACCTCCAAAAAAGTATAAATCTTTAGCTGACATATATGCATCATGTCAATTTGCTCTTACTCTTTCGGATCATATGAGTTACGAAGAACAGCTGAAAAAGAAGAGTGGAAGAAAGCCATGGTAGAAGAGATGCAGTCCATTGAGAAAAAATGGAACATGGTAGATGGTTGACTTACCAAAAGAAAAAATGCAATCAATTTGAAATGGGTGTTCATGACAAAATTTGCATTAGATGGAGCATACAAAAGCATAAGGTCCGTCTTGTAGCAAAAGGGTATGCACAACAACAAGGTATAGATTTTGAAGAAACTTTTTCTCCTGTAGCTCGTTTTGAAACTGTAAGAACTATTCTAGCATTAGCAGTAGAATTACGGTGGCCGGTTTATCAGTTTGATGTTCAGTCAGCATTTCTTAACGGAGATTTACAAGAAGAGGTTTATGTAGCACAACCCGAAGGATTCATTAAGAAGAACAAAGAAACAAAGGTATACAAGTTGAGAAAGGCACTATACGGATTAAAGCAGGCCCCTCGAGCTTGGTACAACAAGATTGATGAGTATTTTCAAAAGAAAGGATACATGAGAAGTGAGAATGAGCCTACTTTATATGTGAAGAAGGAAGGTAAAAGTGATTTCATCATTATTTGCCTTTATGTTGTCGATATTATTTACACTAGCTCTTCTAACTCTCTTTTGGATACATTTAAGTCTCAAATGATGAGTGAATTTGAGATGTCAGATATGGGTCTATTACACTATTTTCTTGGTCGTGAAGTATATATAAAGTTGAGGATGAAATTTTTATTTCACAAAGAAAATATGTCAAAGATATTATGAGTAAATTTGGTATGCTTAATTGTAAGCCTGTAGCTACACCTATGAATATTAATGAGAAATTACAACATAATGATGGAGCAGAAATGATAGATGCTAGAAGGTTCAGGAGCTTGGTTGGCAGATTAATTTATTTAACTCACACACGACTCGACATTGCATTCCCTGTTGGTATTATTTCTAAGTTTATGCAACATCCATCAAAGGTTCATTATGGAGCAGCAAAAAGAGTCTTACGTTACATTGCCGGAACTATGGAGTATGAAATTTGGTATTCTAAATCCTCTAATTTCAAACTATATGGATTCACTGATAGTGATTGGGCAGGATCATTAGATGATAGACGAAGCATTTCAGCCAATGTTTTCACTTTAGGGTCAGGAGCGATCACTTGGAGCTCAAAGAAGCAAGCAACAGTGGCGTTGTCAACGTCAGAAGCAGAATATGTTGCAGCAACTTCAGCAGTGTGTCAAGCTATTTGGCTAAGAAGAATGTTAGCTGATCTTCAACCAGAGCAAAAAGGGGCAACAAAGATATTTTGTGATAATAAAGCAACTATTTCTATGACAAAGAACCCAGCGTTTCACAGTAGAACAAAACATATTGAACTTCGACATCACTATATTCGTGATCTTGTTGCAGACGAAGAAATTGTTTTGAAATATTGTAACACTGATGAACAACTAGCAGACATACTTACCAAGACTTTGTCAAAAGAAAAGTTTTGCTACTTCGGACGATTACTTGGCATTTGCAACTTTGAATCAATGAGAAGTGTTGAGATATGATTCAAATATTCAAACTACAGAGATTTTAGGAGATTTTAGGAGATTGTTAGTAGATTTGAATTTTCTAGATTTCGATGATTTACTATTTCTGATCCAGTGTATAAGCTATAAATACAGTAATTGTGTAATCATCTAAGCATCAAGTCAATAGACAATAATAAAGCACTGGAGCATTCATCTATTCTATCTATTTTATCTCTTTCACTATCCTTTTTCCAACAGAGAGGAGAAAGAAATAACTAACTCAACTCAATAAATGTTCACTTCCCAGCCCCAAGAACGAAGAACAGCAGAAGGAGAGTAAGAACAGGGAGCTCTCTCCTTTTTCTTTTGCACTAAATCCCTTTTCCTGTGAAGAAAAGTTGACTCAAACTCTTCAGCTACGCGCTAAAAAAAAATGACAATCATTCCTTTGTAACGAACTTGCTGAGTTGGCAGGAGAGAGATTCTTCCATACCCTAACAAATCTCCCACGTGTAGAAGAATCTAGTCAATTAAAAATTTCATTCCTAAACGATCATCAATATCTTCACTGCACCATACCAATTAAGACTTTGCATTACCTCAATTTTCCAATATCCACATATTTTGTTAACTTGTCTCCTAGATTGTTTGTTTAACTTGAATCACATATAATATAAACTTTAAAGAAAGTACGAAAAATGTTGTTTAACTTACTCCAAGATAAAGTGCATTAAGTAAGGGCAAACTTCATTAAAATTCATTTATGTAACAAAGTATTTCAAGATAATTCAAAGAAGCTTCATTTATTTTTAAATGGTTACACATTCATGAGAAATAATCAAAATCTAGATATGATTATTTTTACCTAATGACTAACTAGTTATGGTTATGAAGTATGAAAGTTAAAACTTTTGAAACGACGGAAGTGCAAGAATTTTACTATATAAAACACGTAAGTCTTTTCTGTGTACGTTACCTGCTTTAGAATTATTTAAGTTTGACTTAATCTTACCCGGAGTGATTTGAATCTCAAGTTTGTTTAAAAGGTAACCGAAATCTAATTTTGAATTGAAATGATTCCTTATCGTTTTGGAGTTCTTTAAAATCTTATTCTTCAATAGGGTGTTAGATCAAATTTTTGAGAGTTCCATATCATTTCAAATGAAACCAAGTTATTTGAGGGATTCTAGTCCATAAGAGTTGTTGGAAGCCATTGCCTAAGGTTTTAATGTGTAAAAGAATATTTGGTGTTTCCCTCTCATAGTTTCATGTAACCTGAATCACAGAATGCAAAGTTGAACCGTCTGGAATTCCAAGAGGAGGATCAATACATGAACAGTTATCAACTGCAAAGAGCTCCCACTCTTTAATTCCACATTTCTCCAAAGCAGCAACCACTCTCTCTTTTTGATGATCATTCTGAGGGTATGAACCATCTGGACTCACAAGAACAGCGCCTGTATACGACTGTCCCGCAGCTCGAGCTGCGCCTTTATAATGAAACAAACCCCAAGATAGATCATCACATACATCCACAATACTCCAAAACTCATTTGAAACAACACCATTATCCAGCACACTGAACAAGAATGTCCCTGCAGTTTGTCCCCTCTTTACTCGATACCTTCGTCGCCTCCACACCATCTTTCCTTCCAATGTTTTCACCATGAAAACAGGCTCGTACCAGAACGATCCTCTCGCTTTCCCCCTGTAAAACAGCTGGTATTGACATGGAAATTGATCGTAAGCAGGGTTCTGCCCAGCTACCACACGCCAACTCCACTCCAAATTCCCTAACCAACCAACAAAAAGATCCTCCGCTGTTTCGTGACATAGGTCCTTCCCTCGAAATTTCTCCATTGGAGACACGTAAGGCTTTTCGGGAACTTTTGCATCCAACTCGAGACAATTGTTCTTTTGCAGCACACATAATGAAAATGCTTCAAGATTTGGACTTTCATAGGAAGCAATGCACCTGTAGTTGCACACTTGATCCACGGGGCTGCACTGATTCAAGCATTGAAGAGCTTTCCTACAATTAGGATCCATCAAGCAATTTAATATTTGCCTACCACAATTCTTTACCATGCAGTTTAGAGTTGAAAAGCCTTTTGATCTTAGATTCTTCAATATAGGAACAGGCTTTATATATGCATTGATTATTACCAACAAACAGAAACGTATATCGTCCGAATTACGACGATCCCACGCCTCAAATACGGTCTGCACTACTTCCTCAGATTTCTTTCTTTTCTCCAACCGCTGAGAATTTCCGAAAATGTTTCCCAGTACATTTCTTTCGGTTTCACTGGGGAAGGATAACCCCCCTAATTTGTTAACCAACTCTGTTGCGGAGTCGAAGCAGATTATATTTTGAACGTTTTTGCAGTTTGTTTGTATCCATACAACTGAATCTTTACTCGTGACAGCAACAATGACCAAAATATCCGCATTGCAAACGATTTGAATGTTTTTGGTGTCTGGATGAGTTACATCACAGAACCTATCAGCAAAGACGTGCATTTTGTAGCTTTCGTCGATCCATTTTAGTCGTTTTGCCTGTTTATAAAGAACATCAAAGAAACTGGTAAGCAAAGTTGGCGAGGTTGCTAAATAAAGACAATGCTTCTTTTCTGGTTTATTTTCATCTTCTTCC